TGGGTTGGGTGTCTAGTGAATGGGTGAGCAAGTTTGTCTACTTTAGAGTGTAATAATATGTCCAATCTAGGAGGTAGCTGTATTATAAAACTCTTGAACTTATCCCAGTGGATTAGAAATGAGGTGCTGCATATCACATTTAGAGAGTCACTTCAGATATTTGAGGCCACATCAAAGAACCACTCAGTAAATAGTGTGTGGTCCTACGTACAAACTGTTCATTGCAGAAGAGGGTCTAAATGTAGGTTCTAAGATCTTGGGAAGCAGTTTGCATTTGCCATGCTGCTGTTGTCTCAAGCACTTATACTACGGCCCAGGAAAGACAAATAGACCTCTGAAAATATCTGTTCAGGAAGAGGTTTTCCACAGAACCTATAAAACATTCATAACACCTCCATTGTGCTGTAAATCCTTAGCAGGAGTTGATAACAGTGCATGAATTTTTAATGTAACATTTATAAATGGTTATTAAAACTATCCTTAAAGTAAAGTGTCAGTTTATTTTTAATTAACTGTTGGCTATTTAAGCTCCCGGATGGCCCGGGGGCAGACCAACAGTCTAACAAGTTAATATTCTAGAGTAACCCTTCATTTTCTGCCTGGTCATACTGATAAACCAATGGAGGATCTGCACAGGGCCAACTTGGGACTGGACTGGGTTTTACTACTGGGTGCCAGTGGAGTCTTTCATGGATTGAAATGTTTTGGTATTCCACATTGTAGCCTAGAGCTTCTTCTGGGCACTAATAGGAGTTATTTCTTAATATTTAGCAAATCCAATCAGTGTGCAGCAAAGCTGAGCAATTCCTAGAGGGACACAGCTTTGTCATGTATGTTGGGAACAAATTTCCATTGACGTCAATGGGTTTGGATTAGAACTTAACCAATTTAACAGAAACCAAAGACACAAATTTCACACAACACTTTGGATTCTGACAATAGTAATTGATAATTTTCACTGCTGGATTTCATGAATAATCCAGTAAGAGTAGAGAAATTAGCATGTGACTTATTAAACTGATTAGCATGCGTTCAGTGACAAATATTACAATTCACTATACTGTGTGAAAATTGCTTTTGTTAAATATTTAACTATTTATTCCATAAAATATTCTCTTCAGCAAAATTTAAGCAACTGTGTGGAAACTGAGCCTGAAACGTTTGTGAGATTATTCTTCTTGTTAATAATTTACATTACAATATCGTAGACCAGTGGCACTGTCTATGAGCTGGCAATTTTTCATGCTGAGCTCAGAATCAAGCAGATCTTTAAAAGTAAATGTGTTGGTGCATGATGGGAGATATTATTAAAATAACAGGTTTTGGGACACACTGGATCCTGGTGAAAATACCAAAATGGTGAGATTGATCTTCAGGCTCTTTAGTCAAGCCCCCAAGGCATCTAGTACCATTGCTACAACTTTAGCCCTTTCTCCTATTCTGTTCTGTACCTAAGGGGTTGATAGCTCGTGATGTTTTCGTGTTTCTTTTCTGCCAGCTGTTTTTTCCATGGGCAAGCAATGTCTAGGATAGTGTCTTTTTTGCAGGTCTAACCCTTCTAAATCATTAAGATATCTGGGTTTCTTTAGCTTCCTCTTGCCTTCTCCATCACAAGGTGAAATCCCAAAGGATTTCACTTTGTATTTTCTGTTACTGAGTTACATTTGTGACCCCATCACTTCTAACCCCTGGGGTAATGATATTAGCCATGCATTTCACAGTGAATGGTACTGGCTACTCAGTTATGCCTTCCCTAGTGTACAATCCTTGAGGCAGCACTGAACAACTGCTGACAATAGGCATTATATTCTCACCACATGTGTGGCATCTTTTTCCTTTGTTTATGGCTTCACTACTTTTCAGAACATGGTATCCTAGCCAGCTTGTTTCCAAAGTGCCACTGTAATTAGGCCCACTAAGTGGGCTCTTTCTAGTCCCTTAAAAGGGTGTAGGTTGTAGCCGTGTTGGTCTAAGGACATAGGCAGACAAAGTTCTTTGGGTGAATCTGATATCTTTTATTACAGCAACTTAAATAGTTAGAAAACAATTTTTAAGCAAGCTTTTGGGTTCAAAAACCCTTCATCAGGCTAAGGAAGTCTCTGCAGTTGGTGTGTGCTGTTCCTGGATAGAGTGAATAGTAAAGAAGCCAGAGGCTGGGCTGGTCTGCGTACAAGATGGGCAGTCAGTGAAGATATAGATTGAGGAGTCAATGGGTGAGAGACAGGCTGGGTGTGGGGGGACAGAAGTGGGATGAATAGTCGAGAAGTACCTGGGGAGTCAGATGTCAGGCAGGTTATAATGCGTCATATATCCAATCTCTATATTTAGTCCGTGATTTTTAGTATCCAGGAGGCTGATGAAGAGGAGCTCATAGGCTCGTCTCTGGGAAGTGTAGTGTAAGTTTCCTTTGAGGATCAGGACTGAGAGATTGGAAAGAAAGTGGTTTTCTTGTGAGAAATGTGCCCTCACAGGTAATTGGGTATTCCTGTCTTTGATAGATTTCCAGTGTGCGTTCATTCTGGTGTGCAGATAGCACTGAACCTCGCTAACCTCATCACCAGAAGCAAACTTCCTCAGGCCCAGAACGCACCAAATGGATCCAGACCATGCCATGACAAGAAATGCAAAACCTGCCAACACATCTCCCCCCCTCCCCACAATTACTACATCCCACAACAAAGCCATCAGCATTCCCGGATCTTACAGCTGCACCTCCAGAAATGTAATATATCTCATCCAATGCACCGAATGCCCTGATGGAAAATACGTAGGAGAGACCATACAACAACTGTGCACCAGAATGAAACTTCCTTAGCCTGATGAAAGGTTTTTGAACCCAAAAGCTTGCTTAAAAATTGTTTTCCAACTATTTAAGTTGGTCTAATAAAAACTATCAGATTTACCCAAAGAACCTTGTCTGCCTAGTCCCTTAAAAGGAACTTCATCCACCTTCTCAATCAGCCATTTTTCTGTGCATTTGTTTCCCACCTCTTAAAATGATCTTTGTGTTCTGCTTAGGTTTTTCTTTCCCCACATATCTTTAATAAGGTCTATGACTTCCTCAGGTATTGAACTCAAAGCACTCCCCTTACAAGTTGGCTTTTGCTGATGGTGACAATGACACCTTTGTCTTGTCCAGACTGCATACAGACATAATTTGAAAAGGGTCTTTTCTGGGCCAGGATATCTTAATCTGAGTTTGCATGCAGTTTAAGGTCATATAGTAAAAAGATGGGGTGACAAAGAGTTCCTTTGGAAGATTCATCTGCATTTCATAAATGCAACCATAAATAGTGGTTAGTTTGCAGCTATGGATGGTGAGATCTGTCTTCCACGTGCCATAGCTAAATTTACAATTTTATATCATATAAAATGTTATATAATATATACATTTATATAATATAAAATGTTATAAAATGCAGTGGCATACATTCTCAGCATTTTCCATGTTTGTGAATGTGGGACTGAATCAAAGACCTCTTGGTTGTCTAGCCATACTTTCCTGTGGCTTCTTTTTTGTGGATCTGGCAGTCTTCATAATCTGTTTGCCAATAAGTAGTTGATAATTGATACTTCTTTATTTCATTTTCACCCATTTTACTACCACGTGAAATAAGGTTCCTAGTTAGGGGGCATAGGTCTGAACTGATATGGATGATGTGAACAGTCTGTAACAAGGCAGGGGGAAATGTGAGAACTACCTGGTTCCTGTTTTTGTTTTTCCTGATTAGCACAATTCCCTGATGCATCCTCCATTCAACATCTTCTCCTTCTAGACCTGCCTGGAGATGTTGTGCTAATCTAGGTGCAATGATGTAAACTAGTTAAACCAAAAGCCATGGATGCAATCTGGTCCAGGTGCTTTTGAGTGCTTGGTTGTCTATACCATTTCTGTTGTTACTCTTAGATTTTCCTGCCGTTTAACTTCTTCAGAGTTTTAATAACATGGACACTGTTGTTGTTATCAACTGGACTGCTCCAGATTCTTCTTCAAAACTTGAGACACTGTTTTGGCATCTAGAAGTGGTGGGTTAACCCCAAGAGGTTTCTTATAATAATCTCCTTTAGCTGGGGTTGAAAAACTGTTTGCTAAACTAAAATTTTGGAATGTTTGGGAGTTGCAGATATTTTCACAAATATCAAGTGTTCATGCAGCCCCTGGTTAATACATAATGACAATCACAAGTATTAAAAATTATGAGTCTCCTCTTCCCCTCATTCCCCCTAAAAATCTTGAGATTTTAAAGGAAATAATAAAAGTGAGATTCTGTTTACTTGCCTGGTGGTCTCTTTGCTTTTGGGGGGCAGTTACTTCATACTTCCAAGCTTTTTCAAGACTTGCAATCATATTGCTAGGTTTGCAACATGGTTAATAGAGCCTCAACAATGAAAGGGAAATGAACTCGATGCGTTCAAGCTTGGCTGAATGCAACCTCCTGTTGCCAAACTGCACGCAAATGATGTCTCTGAAATGGCTGTTCCAGTGACTGTGCTGGAGGACTAATCCACATTTCCTGATCTCTGAGGCTACTGTTCCAATGACAGAATAAACCTGCTGGTTAAAACTTCTGAAATCCACCTTTTTTGCTCTGCACTGGATTGCTTTTGATTACTAAACCATCTTTGTAAAGCATTGATTATTTATTGGATAAATGGTTTAATTCTGAAAGTGCTGATGAGACCCCAACTAGAGTTGTTTAAGACTCCAAATTTTGATTCAGCCAGAGCTTTATCCCAAATCAAAACAAAAACAAGTGATTCCCCCCCTTGAATTATTTTTTCATGGGAAATTCTCACATATAGAAATGACCCTATCAAACTATTTGCTTCACCTTTAGTATTTCCACTTTTATATTAATATAACATAGTGTATTGGATAGTACAGCACAATATATTCTGGAAAAAAAAATCATTTGGGACTGTTGCAATGATATGATGGAAACAAAAGTGCTTCAGTTTTATTGAAACTAAATAGAATGTTTCCATTTTTTTCTTTGCAGATTTAGATGAAATTGCTACATTCCTGTGAAGCATTTCCATCTCCATTTCATTGGATCAGTATTTTGCTACAGAAAACTGTTCCATCAGAAAAAAAATGACTAGCCCTGCTTGGGGCTTTGCAGGTTAGAACGCTGAAAAAATAATAATAATAATAAAATAACACAAGAGTGGAAGCAGAAGTACGGTTTTATGATTTATAAAACTGAAGCACTAGGATGGGGCTTAGGAACAGCTCCCAGCTCTACCTGCATAGATAGTCTGCTGTCCCAAACACAGATTTCTTCCATGACTTTCAAGCACATCAAGGAGTAGGCTGGCCAGGGCTCAGCGCTCAGTCAGGGCCTGATCCACACTCATCTTGGACACATGCTGAATTCCTTCAAAACTCTGAGCCTGTTTACAGCTGCTTAGTTCTGTTATATATATGGGTTTTTTCTCCGTTCCCCACTTCTAAAGCAAAACTAATGGCTGCATCTACACATGTGGTGAACTGTGGAGTAGACTAATTAGCTGCAGAGTAAAGCATCACCATTTACACATGTGATGCTATTAGACCGCAGTAAACTAATTAACGCTGCCATAAGATAGTACTGTTGGAGACAATATTAACCTTCGGTGTGGTAATTCACTATGATCAAACATATACATAGAAAACTGACTGTAGGCATAAATTGTGCCCGGTTAGCCCAGCTAGCAGGAGGCAAGACTTGTGCCTGCTGTCCAGACACATGGCTTCGCAC